GATTCGATGCTGAAAGAAGGTTTGATACAAGAACTGCTCAACTTCCATGACAGGCACAACAAACAGAGGATTAAAGACGACAAGTTAGTACTATGTTTACTATTTTAGACCATTTTTAAAAAAAGATTATCTGATTATTTAAAATTTCACAGCTTCGTGAAAAACTCAGTAAATTTGTACTCAGTAAACTCCGCTGTGTTTTGAAGCATGAAATGATTCAAAACACTTTAATATTGGAAATGTACGAATGTTCGGTAGCCGTATCAGCCATTGAGCTATTGGCGCTTTACAATAAGAAATACTTCTACAAAATTAATCAATCTATACTTATAAGTTTTTGAATTTAACTAAACGCATTGTAACCTCTTGTTATATCAAATAAAAAGGCGACTAGTAGGTTTCTATGTCAGGCTAAGAAACTTTATAGTAGTAGATATCAAATCAAACATTAGTATAATCAGAGAGTATTTTTAAGTCGTACAGAAAGAAAATTGAAGTCTTTCTTGGCTGTATGTTTATTGGATTGTAACATTAACAGAGTTTAATTTCACGGACAATTGACATCGCCCAATTGAGTGCCCTTTGTTTCCTTAAATTAAGTAATATTCACGTTTTAAACCAACCAATTTGCAATAACCATTTTATAAGCGAACCCTTATTATGTAACAAAGTATATATGTAAAATTTAGTAATGTTTTTTTTCCTGTAATCAAACATCAAATAACCATTGAACTTCTAGGACTTTGAGTTGCAGGATGACTACAATAAGTGCATCATTTTTCTTTTTTTTTCACGATTGAAAATATAACATACATTTTTATTTTAAATGTATCATAGGATTTATTTTAATTATATCTTTGCCACCTTTATAATGACAACTTTAAAAAAAAAACAATGGCTTATCAAAACAAGATGGCGTCAGGTGTGGGGCGTGCGGGGTGTGTCGGGGGACGTCCGCGCGGTGCATCTGCCGCTGCGGTTCCCTATGGTGTCAGGTTGCATACGCCGTCTCTATTCTTAATGGTAGAATGAATTGTCTTTGGTACTATTAATCTATAAAATATTTAGAAGAAATTTTATAAATGTTAAAATAAGTAAGGCAATTTTGCTTTAACTTTAACAGGTGAAGACAATAATGACTCCTAAGCAAAACAATATTTTTTAATGTTACAATGTATAGATGGGAATTTTCATATTTTTGACAACTAGTGTTTCTTAAATCAATCACTTATGCATTTTTTACTTAAAAGCTAACGTAATCTTTAACACATACACTTGTATAGGTATTATATAAAAAATTATATTATTTTCAAGTATCAAAATTGTTCCATCGTGTTATATGTCAGCACGCACCACGCGTACGGCGACCGCAGACGCACCAAGCTAGCCAACACTACAATGAAATACAGCTTGTCTGGAAACGATTTTGTCATATCATAAATTATGAATAATATTAACTTTTTACAGTTAAAAAGACAATTGAAAAAATGCAACAAACCCACGAACCAAGTCTTGGACTTACCGTGGCCTTCTGAAACCAAATTGCCCGTTTAAAACATATTGTTATCCCTGTTTTGTCAATAATAATGTCAGGGATGCAACCAAATCTCTGTATAAAACATATCGTCATGGTTTATACAGAGATTTGGGTCTCAGAAATCAATAGTGACTTCAATTCTACCCATGCTAAAAAAACATTGGGTAGATTACCCTATCTAAGATATCTCTCAACCCTAAATCCAGTAGATTCGCAAATGTTTTTTGTGTAAAATCAAAAACGCTGATTTATTGTTAAAAAAGCCGTCTCACAGTTAAATTGTTTTCTTAGTTAATTAATTGTTGATTAAAAATATTTTTTAAAGTCCCTTCTATTATTTGTAGGGGCAATAGTAAGTCTTCCCGCGCTGTCCCCGCGTAAGCCACTTTACTAAAGTTGCCTGCGAGTTTGTTTACACGAGTTTTTATGTCACTTTCTACACGTATTAAAATAAAACGACTTGTTTTGCGTAATTTTGCGTAAACCACTGGGGTTAATACCCCTTGTGGTTTATTGTTGGTATTTTTTAAGTGTCAATATATTGCTTTTAACTCTCTCATGTAAAGATATTGATTTACTTAACTATTTTTAAAATAATTATGTAATTAAATTTTGCAATTATTTTTTGGCTTGCGATCTTGCTCTGGTGTCTATGGTCGTAATGTTGCCAGTATAAAACTATTTACATTTTTATGTCACTTGACTCTTTACTATCTGTCAAATATTGTCTCATCTATTCAATAATTTTATATTTTAAGTTATAAGATAGTGTTGTGTGTACTATTTATTTTCTTATAGGTATAGTCTGAGCATATTCATTTCAAAGTCTATACGATATTACTTATTATTATTGATATTACTAAGTATTCTGATACTTTGTATCTTCAGTCAAACTTGTGAAATGTAACGCTAATGTATATTTCCGTAATGTATACTGTATACATACAAAATAAAGGGGAATTGTATTTACATAGTCATCGTCTAGTTGTGAGATAAAAGCCCGCAAAAAATAACCAGGTTGTCGACATCGACGCGACTTTTTTTACCTCCTCAAATATCCATTCACAAATATTTAAAGCTTTGATTTTAGTGTTGCGCGTCGACTGAGACGGATTTATTTTTAAATTTCCGTATTACTTTTGGTTGGGAATATTATGAAATATAGCAGTCGCCCGCGACTCCGTCCACGCGGTACTAAAAAAACTTACCGTTGAGCCTTGCTGGAGATACCTTCAAACAAACAAACATCCATCCATGCAAACATTCGCATTTATAATATTAGTAAGAAGTAAGATTTTTTTACTACCAAACTAACAATTATCAAAATTTCTGCTTCATTATTTTTAAGTAATGTAAATTTTTTATTATCTTACATTTAAAAAAAATAACTAACAGAGTAGGGTGATGTTCCGCCATTGTTGGAGTTTGAAGTTTGTATGTTTATTCAAGGCGTTGGTTTGAAATAAAATGAACACCAATGTTCAATGCATACCGTGTTTGTGATCCTGAGACTGCGTACGTAATTGAAAGGTTAACGACCGATACAAACATAATTACGCAACACTCAAATTTTTAAAAACATTGCACTGTGAGCATAAGTTACCGAACACGCAAAAATAACCCGTATGTAGCTATAAATAAAGTATAATTCGAGTTATGTTATTTCAAGTGAAGCAGTCTTAGTGATCGAGTAGGCGGATTTTTTTTAGGAACTACATATATATTTTATTTTAATTAGAGGTCACATTAAAATGAACATATGAATTAGTTTGTAAACAATTATAAGTTAAAATACAAAGTATTTTTTTTTGTGTAGAAGTGAGTGAAGTGGAAACGATTCCGCATTTCGTCTGAAGAGTGTGGGTGCCGGAGGCTTAATTTTATCCTTATTAAGTGAATTTTGTGGAGGAGGAAACGACGTCGAGAGGAGACGGAAAGGAAAATATTTTCTTTCTCTTGTCTATGTGTCCATAGATTACAGGCAACGCATATGCAATTGCGAATATCAAAGGGGAGCAATCAATCGCTATTCTAGCGAATTCAGGCCGCTTGGTCGTCTGCCACTTTATGATATGAAAAAGCTTTATGAAACAGGATATCGGAAACATAACTCTATCTGCGATTGCTTTGAAGGCGTGAGAGAGCTTATATAATAAAGGTGTGATAATTGAATTTGAGTGAGGCGTCGGCGTCGCGCGGCCGTCGCGCTCGGCGGCGCTCACCGCAGACCCCGCGCACACCTCGCGCGACCCCGCGCACCCCCCGAGCACCCCCGTACCACACCGCACTCACTGATTGTGTGACGACTTCTTTGTTACACCGTGGGAAGTGGCTCATCCAGTCACAACATAATAAAACAAACACGATGTTTATTTTTATTTATACCTCAACAAAACCACTACGTAATAGTACTAATACTATACTATTTTAGTCTGCTCTCGAATATGTTAAATATCTTTATGTTGTATCGCATTTAATCATTGTTTATCTAGCTTTAGTATTAAAAGTCTAGCAAAAGAAACACATTTTTTTTATCATAAATTAAACAATTTCAGGCCCCCAGACTATACCAAGGGAGTGTTCCAAACGCTGGGTCTGAAAGAGTTCCATGAATACCTGATGATGACTGAAGATGAGAGGAACAGCGAAGACGGAAAAAAATTAATGCTGCAAAGTATAGACAACATGAAAATAGCAACACGTAGATATGCGAGGAGACAAAACAAAATGGTCAAAGGGCGCTTTTTAGAGATTCCTACGAGAGAGGTAAAATACATTTTAATATTATAATACATATAACGAAAAAATAAGAGAATTAATCTCTGCCTAGCAGGCGTGTTATGTTGTTATAATTATTTTGGTATAGCGCCATCTATGAACAGTTATAAGAAACATATTAGCCGATATTTAGAGCCATCTCGTGTTGAAAAGCTAAAACTATTACAAGTGGCGTCATCTTGTGATGACAAGTCAACAGAATTTTTAAATATGTTTATAATCTAATAACAGATGGCGTTGCTGTAGGATATTTTTTCTCAAATAAAAACATTTTACAGGTACCAACAATTTATGAACTGGATACAACAGACTTATCTCAGTGGGACAAACAAGTCAAAAATAAGGCTATAGAGATAATAGAAAGTTACATCAATAAAATTCCTTGCCCTTACGAGCCTTTGAAAAAAAATATAGATGAGGAGAAAAAGAAAATTAATAGTCAATCGTCAAATTATTGTGATGTTTGTGAAAGGTTAATTATAGGTGACAAGGAATATACCATACATTTAAATTCATTTAAACATCAAAGGGTGTTGAAAAAGAAAAAGAGGCTACTAGACCAAAAGACAAAAGAAGTACAAAATAACTCATAAGATTTTTAATTCATGTGAAATGCAACATTATTTATTTTAGGATTTAAAAAATAAAATCTTTTGTGTTGAAGCAATGTTTTTTATTAACTAAATAATCTAAATTTTTACATAACAATATTACATTATTACTTCATCTACATTTTCAGTTATTACTTTTTTCTTTGGAGCTCTATAATCATAGTTTTCTAAATCTGGATGCTCAGTTATAATAGCCTTATAAGCCTCACACAATCTACCAAACTCTGAATTGGTTATTTGATAAGGTCTTGTCACAGGATCTAAGTCAGCTATATTATACATTTTTAATGCCATTTCTTCACGAATATCCTCGGGAAATAATGTCTGTGCACCTCTTATTGAATACTTTTGTCGCATTGAAAATATCTGCCTAACAACTTTTTCTATAAGTTTAAATGGCAACTTTATAACTGGTTGTTTTAAAGGTGTTAGAGTTACTACTCCCACATCCACATCAGGTTTAGGTAGAAAAGCGGAGCCGGGTATATCAAATTTATACTTTACGTTGCACCAATTCTGACACATTACAGACAATCTACATCTTTGCTTATGTAAGATGGGTGCAGACATTCTCTCCGCCACTTCTTTTTGAAAAGTTAAAGTCATCCTCGCTCTACCAAATGACCAAACACCTTCTTGTCTGGAAATTGCCTCCAACCAGCGTATCATTAGTATTGTTGATACACTAAATGGTAAGTTACCGATCAGATTAACAGGGGGAGGAGGATCGTTCCAACCAACTTTAACATCTGGTGGAATAAAATGTGCGACATCTGTGTGTAAGATATCACCAGTTATAATATCAATATCAACTTTATCCTTACAGGCATCTCCTAAAAGTTCTAAGGTCGGTAAAAACCGAGGATCTTTCTCGACTAAAATTACTTTCCTAGGTGCCTGTTGTATAATAGACCTAGTAATTCCACCCGGCCCAGGTCCCACTTCACACACTATATTATTCTGAATGTTGCCTGCAGCTCGTACTATTTTATCAATTAACCGAGGCTCTAAAAGAAAATTTTGTGACAGTTCCCTAAGTGCGCGCAATTTGTACAATCTAATGACATCTTTGATACTAGGCAAAGGAGGAAGGCGAATTTGCAAGGCTTTATGTACTACAGACATTATTGCTGTACCTTTACTGGTTCTTCAAAATCGTCCAAGAATGTCTCTTGTTTAACTGCGTTAATAGAATAAAAGTAGATACCCAAAACACCAGCGCCAATCAAGCAACCAGTTATCCGATTTCTTTTGCTTATTTGTTGTAATTTTTGAACCCGCTCAAGGTTTTTCTGTTCTATGATTTTCATATAATCTAGTTCTGCTTGTTTTAATACTGGTGTCTTACCATCAGTACTGTTAATTTTAGGTTTTATGTTAGAATCGCCCATTACGATAACAAAATAGTTTTATAACCTCCAATTCACAGAAAATCGAGTTACAGCACACCACAGATAAATACAAAGATTCACATTCACATAGCATAGACACAATTTTGTTTTTGTATGAATTCAAAGACTAGTTATGACAAGAATCGTGAAAATATTTGTTATCCACTGAATGTAAATAAAGAATTTAATATGATTATTTATGTGAAAAAGTAGCTCCCTATACTTGAATGAAGAAACGAAATCACTTAACAATTTATTATTATGGTACTACTAATCCTATATATATTTGAATAAAGGACAAGAGCCATACGAAATTGTCTCGAACTAGTTCATTACGATTTCATTAATATTCACGTATTTATGTTCTAAACCGTAAAAGTACATTATATAAGTACATCATGCTAGTTCGACTGTGTGATGAATATTCTCTTGTATTAAAACTTTACAATTGTGTAAACAAATAGTAAACAGCTGTTTGTGACATTTGTCCATAGATAATCGGTAAACGCATGCGCGCAGCGGTCTCTTTCTAAACAAGACTTCCTTTTCTCACCTTTGCACCGTACTGTGCGGTCGACTGTCTTCGAATTGGAATTGGAATTGCCGTCAATTCCTGTTTCGCGTTGTTGGTGGTTGCTTGCTTCTCTACGTAGTGCGCACGAACTTTGTTTTTGTGTTAAAAATAATATGCCTTTTATTTCCAAAGACTGGCGATCGCCAGGCGAAGAGTGGGTGAAAACTGAAGAAGGATGGGAAAAGAAAAAAGTGCTAGAATGCACAGCACCGAGGTAAGAACGCGTTGCAAAACAAACTCCTTTGTTCGCAATTAGTTCGATTTGTGCATGTAGCGTTCTAACGTTTATAATATAATGCTTTACATAACATTGTTGTTTTGATTGTGCATAGTTTTTGTATTTTGTTTTGCAGATATGCCGCTATATCTAACTTTAATAACATGGAAGAGAAGCAACATAAATGGTGAGTGTCGCACGGTTACCTTTCGCTTATCCGATCAGCTGTTTGTGTTATTGTCGCGATACTTATTGATTTTCAAGATTGCGTGTCTGCGTATCACACAAGCATGTAGTATTTATTTAGTACGCATTTAAACAAGAGAATCATTTATAACTCAATATATAAACACTTCTCACCTAAATAAGTATACAAGCATATCTAAGCATATGCGTTACGCAAATACTAACTTTCACTGAATACGCGACGTTCCCCTTTGTTTCCTTCCTCGTTTTTAATGAATTATGAATCGTCACATTATAATTTCATTACAAATTTTCTGATTATCATTTTATTATTGTTCTTTACTGCATATGATAATGAACATAAGCGTTAAATAAAACTTTATTTTGATTTATTTCTTCGGAATAAAAGTTGTTGAAGAATGTAAATTCGATGATGATTCTTTAAAAATCTCCGTCCTATTAATTACTTATAATCTTTTAGATTTAATCTGAAATAGGTAAAAAAGAACGTTCCATTTATCGAGAAATCTTTTTGCGAGAAGAACCTTGACATGTGAGTAAAATAGGGCATCATGAACAGTGGGTCCTTGGTACTCTCCCAACGGAAACGATGGCACTGCGTACACTGAAACACTTTGAACGAAGCCTTTTTATAACAAAATATTTAAAAAAAGTATTAAAATAGTCCATCCCTTATGATACTTAAATATATTAGTCTCGTGATTTCCATTTATTCCACAGACTTTGGACCATCTCTAGATTTTCTTTACTGCTAGTATTATTCATGAATTACTGCAGATTTATTTTTAAAGTTAACTAAGAAAAACTATGTTAATACTGTAAATAAGTACAGCGTTCAGTATTTACTGCTAGACGGATATAGTTCTCATATAAATATATTTTTTTTTCATCTATCTTTAATTCTCGGTGTGTCCTAGTTTGTTAAAGTCTTTTTAAAGTAAATTCTGTGGACACATGAATATGTAACGATGTTAATTTTTCGTTCCACATCCCTACCGAGCCAAAATTATTTCTTTGTTGACTGGAAATGTTCCCTTAAATATTTAATGACCTCCATAGAGTTTGACGTTGGACTAAAGTGTCGTTTTTTTTCTGACATATATCCTGCTTAATAAAATAAGGTTTGAAAACATCTTCTAAATGTAAAAAGGTAGTAATTGAAATAAACATATCGTACCTATTCGGTTATTTTTTTCGAGCGAGGCCATAGAGTAAGTAGCCAAGGAAAAAATAAAGCAGAAAATGACAATTAAGTGTTACAATAAGTAGGTATCATACCTAATGTATTTTTAATAAACATTAAATACAAACCTAAAACAATAAACTGTACTAGTACAGAAATAAAAAAAACATACATATTTGGCAAAGAGATTTTCCCTGTTAGCAACAAGTAATAAAAGCAAAATGCTGCCTAAAAATGTACAGGGGCAATATTTACTTGGCTGAGCAAAAGCGGGGTAAACACGAATCTGTTTTGGATCTGGGTCAGGTCGACTGTTCGGTCGGCGCTGGTCGACGTTACGAAATAGGAAGACGAATATTGTGAATTTACATTTTTAATTGAAACAGTGAGAAATTATATAAATGTTGCAGGTTTGTTGTTAAGTTCAACGTAATAAGAAACTTTAAAGTGGGTTATAACATGTTTGAACTTTGAAAGCCAGAAAGATGTCGCTTAAATGGACCGTACCACAGAATATTATGTCTAACATATAACCTTACATATTCAACGATTATAAAAATAGAGTTCAATATAAGTTTTAATTCTTCTTTTAACCTGCATGTCAGGTTAAAGTCATTTCCCGAAACTAAATGCGTTTAATTAATTGTCGTCCGTGTTATTTATTTTTGTCCCAAAGTCCTCCGCCTACACTTAAATAAGGAAATGCCTTGTCTCACTCAAACACGTTCACGAAATCTTTTAAAAACAAAAGTTTTTTTTTCTTCATGTTGAGCGTTTTATCCTATTTTTTAACATTTTGCTTTTCAATTCCATTTTCAAAACATTAATGTTAGAATTTTAGATTAGATTCTATGTTTAGTTTTGAGAATTTAGCTATTTACTAAATTTGCTATATGAACTTACCTGAATCATCATAAAAAGCGAATTTTTCTTTGTTAAAATTTCTATCAAAAGAGAAAAATGGAGTGAACCACAATTGTACCCTGTTAATAATAAAAATTGCAATGAAAAAAAGTAACACATTATTTTATGAATCCATATTAACTATAAGTGTTTTGAAAACTTAGTATTTATTACCGTTGACGTTTTTAAGGATGTATTTAAAACTGTTCGTTCTTTAATTATCGTTTCGTGAAACGGAACTAATACGTCAATGTTACATTTTTATGAAAACCCCGCCTAACAAACACGCTATACAAAGTAAAAGTTGAAAAAAAAATGTATTTCACTTTTTTCTTTTTAAATTTTTAATGGCTTTATTTGCCTTTTGTTAACAAATACAATTATTTATATTATATAAAAATAATTAACGCGCCGTCAATTTAATCAAGGAATAGTTTAGTTAATTAATAGGCCACTGGAACATAAGTTTATCAATAATATTGATAAAGTATCAAAACAAAACGATTTAACATAAACACGTATATAAAAGCAGATTATGCGTAATCCTCTTTGTTTTGACTCAATTCCAGGTCATTGCACTTTAACGCGTAGGAATTAGCATCTCGTTAAAATGCAAAATACATAGATTTTTTTTGAAGTCTTGACTTTTATTATATTACTAACTGTCGCCCGTGACTCCGTCCGCGTGGAATTAAAAACGAAACATAATTAGTAGCCTATGTATTGTTCTTCTGTTCTATATGTATGCCAAATTTTTGATCCGCTTGGCCGTTCTGGTGATACCTTCAAACATCCATCCATCTATTCATCTAAACATTCGCATTTATAATAGTAATATAATAAACTCGATAATATTGTAAGCGAATTTGATTTCTTATCTGTATATGTTATTTATGTATTTTTAAATTATCCCTTGATTAGTGAGATAATAAGCGAAACTCTTCGTAAAATGATAGTATTTTCATTCGCCATTCGATACGTTACTTTCTAATAGTCAGTTCCAAGTGGGTAATCTAATAATTACATAGAAATCTAGTACATGTTTAATGGAAATTTCTTTCAACATACTATCAAAATGGCACAAAATCTAGTCTACATCAACTATCAAAGAGGTAAAACTCGCTTTTTTCTATGATTTATTTGTCTACAAAGAAACTATACTACAGTACGGATTTCCGATCACGTGGTTTAGGGTTCGAATCTCGTTATTTGGCTATTGTCGTATAATATAATAACATAAGCCTAAAGTTTACTTGGAAATATTACAAGCAATGTAAAATTAACAAAAGCTATTAACATTATTATTAAATTAAAAAAAAAGTAGTAATGGAATAAGAAATGTGTTTATAATGATCATCTGTTTAAAATATTTTCTTTATATTGAAACGGCTAATATAGTGAGTGTTTAGCCGTTTTTATATAAGTTTATTAAAACAAAAGTTTGAAAAATTTAAAATATTTTCCACTAAATTTTATAGCTTTCTATCAGGGTCGCTGAGTAGTCTGGAGAACGTTAGAGATTGAAATTGCTTGTAAAATCTCATTATAAGTTTTCGCGTCAGCGGCCTTATCTTTCGGAAATTCGCTTTCCAACGTTCAGATGCGATTATTTGCTTATTTTCATAAATTCACAATCATTCTTCACAATCTCTTTCTGCAACAACAATATGTATGCAATATGGAACATTACCATGTTCTTTAAAATATGACTTACTGCGGGTTTCTAAGACTAAAATCCTAGTTTAAAACACATTGTTATCTTTTTTTTTCAAAGATAAAGACAGGGATGATGATATGCCTTATACAGAGATTTCGGTCTCAAAAACCAATGCTGAATCTGGTTTTTAGAAGTCAATACTTTTTTATTAGTCCCCGTTACAATATCTATACTTATAGATATGCTTAAATATTTACATGAATAAAAAATTAAAATAAATTAAC